TTTTTTTATCCAAATATTTCAAACTGCTTATTTATATTATTACTTATAAAAAATCATTGTTAATAATGTATAATGTTCCTATGAATTGGTAGTATTCATATGCAAAGCATTTTTCGGTTTCCTTCTGTGCTTCAAGAGGTTTCAAACAAAAGACCTATTTTCGAAATTCCAATTAGAGTCAGTGGACGACGAACCACTGTCTCATTCAAGCTTCTCCTTGACTATTTTTATCTGAATTAACAATACGCTTTATTTGCTCATGTTTCGTGCTACCGGGATTAAAATGTTTACTGGGAAGTACTGGCCGAGAGCACTGCTAAATGTATGGACACACGATGCTACATTGTATGCAACATTACACGCAGCTGGACTGTTGCAGCGTGTGTCTACCCCTGTCTTCTCTTGCAACATTGCGAGCAACAAATTTCATCGTGTGAACATGGCTGTAGCATTGTGTGCAAAATTTTGAAATTTCCAGCCAATCAGCTTGCACCAAATTTATAACTGCTGACCAAATACCTTAACATAGCAGGCTGACGCAAGCGGTGTTGCGTGATTTTGTTGCAATGTGTGTCACTCCGCTTCAAATTTGTTGTTGGCAATTATGCGTGCAATGTTGCACCGTGCGTCAGTACTTTAATGCGACTCGCGGGTTCGAGTCGCACCGGGCTCGGTGTCGTATGTGAGCAGAGTTGCTTGTTAGTTCTCTGTCTTTTGAGGGCTTTCCTCCAGTTTCCCTGTTTTTTTTTTTCCTTACTCAAAAATTGACTTCTATTAACATTCTTGTTCTATTTTTGGGGCTTCTCCGCTGGCTCTGTTGTGATTGTCCCACGCTGTGATACGACAGCCAGAGCTTAATAGATTTTATTAGAATTCCTGTTTGAATAATTTTCTAATCATCCTGTGCTTTTGTCGTGTTCAGGTCTTGCATGTAGTCTGAATGTTTTCATTCGCTCTGAGGGACAAAGTGACACCAACTTGTCAGCTCCATTAGGATCGTCGTTCCTGATCGTAAATGGGCAGGACTACAGTAGAAAATCACGTGGTATCAATGTGGCGGTATTTGACTTCATGACAGGTGAATTATATTTTAAAATTACCTTCAACCGAACTTATCGAACTTCGAAACAACCCCTGGGCTGATCTAAGTCAGGGCATGGCTAACTCACAGATCGAACCCTGAAACAACCTCTGGGCTGATCTAAGTCAGGGCACGACTAACTCACAGATAGAACCCTGAAACAATCTCTGGGTTGATCTAAGTAAGGGCATGGCTAACTCACTGATCAAACCCTGGAAAAACCTCTGGGCTGATCTAAGTTAGGGCATGGATAGCTCACAGATAGAACCCTGAAACAACCTCTGGGCTGATCTAAGTCAGTGCATGACTAACTCACTGATCAAACCATGAAACAACCTCTGGGCTGATCTAAGTCAGGGCATAGCTAAATCACAGATAGAACCCTGAAACAAACTCTGGGCTGATTGATGTCAGGGCTCAGCTAACTCACAGATAGAACCCTGAAACAACCTCTGGGCTGATCTAAGTCAGGGCACGGCTAACTCACAGACTGAACCCTGAAAAGACCTTTTGGCTGATCTAAGTCAGAGCACGGTTAAGAACACAGTTCGAATTGGGATTTAGCTTTTTAGGTTTTGTAGAGGGAGGAAAACTGGAGAACCCACAGAAAACTCCGGAAATAACCTTGGTATATGGACTTCCAATTAGTTGATGAAGAGTTTATAAAAAGTTTGTGAGCAATCAACAGCTAGTTGATGGTCCGTCATCAAATATCTACGTCCAATAGTTTTTTTTTTTTTTCTTGGTTTTTAGGTCGTTACATGACGGGAGATGTATTCGATGTGAAAGCAGGTGCAGCCGAAGGCACCAAGTTAAAGGASTTCATACAGAACCTACCAAACAATGTTATTCTCCTGATGGCGGTCCAAGGGACAGGGAATGCTAATAGTAACCTAAATGATGCTATCCCCGCATTGACTAGTGTAGGCGTCAACGATACAGCAATACTCGATAATGAGTCGTTTGGAGCAGTTTTGTACAAAGGTCCTGGTAGCCAACCTTGGATTAAAGAGTCCAAAAACACTGTTGGCAATGGGCCGAGCTTTCTAACCAGCTCCATTGCTATACCTTATGGGTACATTCCTGAAGGTAAAGATAATGTTCTTGTACTCGCCATTCTGAGGTCGAGGGAAAAMCTGACTAAAATTGGTATTGCAGCGCATTGTGGGGCTATTTTAGGGAGCACATTTCCCAGATGGCGGCTATCTTATCCCCTAAACAGCCCCAAAATGCAATGCAACGCCAATAGACCTAGTTTTTTTCCTCCACCTCGGAATGGCTAATTATGTTATAATATTGGCCATAAAACGGTAGTGTATCACCAGTTTATAATGTAGAGGGCATTGTGTTTAGTAATGTTGGATTATTGGYATACATTTTGCCCAGCGTGACAGTGAATGGACTACATTTTTGCGTGATATTTTCGACAATTGACGCAAAAAATAAGTTATCTTCAGTTATTGGGGGGGGATCTGAACAATGAACAATGTACTGGAACCTTCAGAAAAAATATTTTGTTCCAGGAATGTGTCTTTTTGGAAACAAATTAATAATAATTTTTTAATGAAATTGCAAAATTGAGGTTAATTAAAATGTAAAGATGATGAYGATGCATCATGATGATGATATCATAATGATTATGATGATGGTGGTGGTGATGATGATAGTGATGATGATGATGATAATGGTGATGATGGTGATAATGATGATGATGATGGTGAATGATGATGATGGTGGTATGGGTGGTGATGGTGATGATGGTGATGATGATGATAATGATGATGGTGGTATGGGTGGTGATTGTGATGATTGTGATGATGATGATAATGATGATGGTGGTATGGGTGGTGATGGTGATAATGGTGATGGTAATGATGATGGTGATGATGATGATAATGATGATGGTGGTATGGGTGGTGATGGTGATGATGGTGATGATGATGATAATGATGATGATGAAGATGATGATGGTGAAGATGATGATGATAATGATGATGATGGTGGTGCAAAGTTGGTGGTGATGATGATTATGATATTGGTGGTGATGATGATGATAATGATGATGATGATTWTTWTWATTTTTATTATAAGAATCCATTCGCACGCCGTTTTTTAACGTTGCGGGATCCAAGTATGGTGGATATTGCATTCAATCATCGTCCAATCTTGATGCTAACTCGGTTTGTAACAAGGCGTTAGATGGCTCGACTGCAGGTGAATGGGCCAGTAAATCAGAAGCAGTAGGAGCATGGATAAGCATTGGCTTTGCATCTTCATACAAAATCAATAAAGTGCGAATACTACAAAGAACCTTGAATGTAGCACAAAGCAAAGATGTTAGGCTTGACTTCAGCGATTGCTCTACATTTGCTGTAAGTTGTGCTATCCTTAACTATCACTAACTGCATAGTCTTCATAGTACTTGCTAAAAATTGCGCATCCAGAACGAGGTTAGGGGGTGGTTTTCACTTAGAAAGTCCTTTTTGGGTCTTAACTTATCCTTTATTCTTATTAATTTTTCAACTTCAAAGAAGCGTGACACCCCCCCCCCCCCGTATCCTCCATTGCGTTTTAATATAATCTTGACAGGAGAATATCAGGACGCTATTAGTGGAATGGAAAAAGGCAATTGATTTGTCACTAAATATTCTCTTATTCTTCAGGTGACTCTCACTCGCGACAAACAAGATTTTGAAGAGTTTACATTTTCACCTCGAATAGCCTCCTGGGTAAAACTGACTGTGACGTCAACATATACAGCATCTTCCAATGGGTTTAAAGAAATCGAATTCTACTACGATCAGTACGAATCAGGTGAATGAATATAGTGTCCATTAATATGAACTAAGATAATATTTGGTTATTAACATCCATCCATTCCATCTATCC